CCATCGCTGAGTGAATGTGTGTGAATGTGGCACGTAGTGTAAAAGTGCTTTGAGTGGTCGGAAGACTAGAAAGGCGCTATACAACAGGTCCATTTACCATTTACCAACCCAAAAATACTTCAGTTTATCAGAAAAACTCAAAAATTCTCAAAATTACCAAGTTTGGACATACATGCAGGGGTGAATCTAGAGAAATATTAAAAGGGTGTCATTTAGACCCTAAGGGGTGGCAAAAATATATGCTGATTTGATCACTTATATCAATACTTGTCTCCTTTTGGAAATAAATTTATTAATCTAAATTAATCTGTTAAATTTGACAGCATTTGACACCAAGAGACTTAAAGATGAATTGATTGTTGAGTTCCAAAGCATCTGTCTTTGATACCCTGGGAATGAGACTCACCAATGAACTATATTTTAGATTTATACTAAATTACTGTTTATAAAAAGTACCTACTGCAGCTTTGAATACAGTAACTTACACGTACTTAACGTTACTTTGATAGCTGTTAGCTTACAGTGCTTCAACGTTCCTTTAGATTGATGACAACTTCTTGTAGCTAACGTTACATGGGACCACTATTTAAGCGTAATTACACACCTGAGGTTAAAATGAATTGGTCAAAATGAATACATCGTCTTCATAATGTTACAAGACAACGATGAGAAGCAGCATTTGACATTACACACGGCTCTAACTGTTGCCACTGGCCCAGTTGAGCTAGCTGACTTAACTAAATGTTAGTTAGCGTTTGAATATCAGGTTGTGAAGTGACAGCCGTTGGGAACTCTCTGCCAACCGTACCATGGTCAGAAACTGTCGGTTTTAGGCAAACTGCTCAATTAATGTTAGCAACGACTGGTTGAAATAGCGGATCGGCTAACCAACGTTAGCTTCTGCGAAATATAGCCCATAACGAGACCACAAGACCGGCCTAGCAACGCCAAACACACTGGTAACCTAAGCTACAAGTCTGATAGCATTACCTGGCTAACGCTAGCAGCGAGGGCAGAAAATGAACGCAACATATCGCCATACGCATATAAAAATCACATTACACACACACGACACTTGCAATATAAACACAGCTTTCCACCAGACACACAGAAACGTCGTTAAAGACTTACCAGAGGCGGACGTTAGCTAATACAAAACTCCCAGTCAGCCATTAGCCGCTGCTCATCCCCGCAACGGTCCGGGTTATGGTTGCCACTTTGGTGAACAGTCCCCCCCCAAAGAGGTACGTGTGAAATCATCCTAACCCATATAAATGTTGTGATTCTGAGCGACCATTTTTATTACAGTTAAGCATAAACATGAAAATATACTTAATCAACTGTGAATAACGAGGTTGCAAGCCCACATACATACATTTTATATGAATAACACGATTTCAAGGTATCCTAGCATATCTGGCAACCAAGTCTCAACGAGCTTGTTCAGCATAGTTTAGGTTATCAGCTGATTCAACTGTACTCACAGCTAAGCTTCAGTGAGGGAGGTAAACAGACCGAGGCTGTTGGTTCTCTAAAAATTAGTTGGCATCACTTTATTGGTGAAAAACCTTATGGAAAACATTTTACTTTAAAATCACTGCATTCACTGCTTCCACACATCCCCATTTGCATTTAATCGATACAACCAGTGCAAATCAACTCTTGTGTCTCCCTGAAACATTATGTTCACATTCACCAAATAACAATATGACAACATTCAGGACACGGTTCCACACATTTCATCAGTTTTTTGGTCCTAAAAACTTTTGGTTGTAAAATGAGAGGTGGGAAAGACTTTTTCCTCCCTATAATTAGTATGTACGGGAGGATCGGTTACTGTGCTCTCCTTGGAATGGAGGGCAGAGAGGAAAGAGTTAGGTGGAAAGACATGGCGGGATGGAAAGGTAGGAAGAAAAAGAGAAGAAGGAGAACATGATCGCTGACACTGCAGTCAGTCTTTTCCAGGGTTCACAGAGGTCACCAGAGCTCCCTCTAACATGTCTGGATTGCAAAACATGGTTGCAGCTACAGAATATGGCAGGAGCTACAGGAAATGTGTGTTTCCCTGATAGAAACAAAAACTGGTTTTAGTATAGTGATCTTAAGAGGGAACAGAAAGAAATAAAGTGTTTCTGGCAACAGCAGTGTCTGTGTCATTATACTACTGACCTCCTATATCCTATTTTATAAGCCCTTTCTCACACAGGAAGCCCCAGTCTCAAATGGGACCGGCCTTGACACACAATGAACCATCACGTCACATATAAATGTCCTTCCACGTGCTCTCTCGCCTCCTCACTCATGACAGTCATCCAGCATTAGCGCCCCGAGGACAACCACCTGACCCTCGTCCTCAGAATTCGTCTTTGTGATTTAATTTCCCAGGCTTGTCCATGCCGAAAAAGGAGGATGGAAGGCCGCCGACGTCCCGTTCTCTCTTCACGAACGCGGAAAAGGACGAGACGCAGTTGCCAATGAAGTGGTCAGCCCGGCCTAAGATGTACAGGTCCATCTGCGCCGAGTCTGGCTGAAGACTCACCACTTTCACCTGAAAACCAGAGCCAAATACACAAATAAACAACCAGATGGGGAAATACAAATGCTGTAACAGTAACCAAGTGAGAGTATTTCTCATTCTCAACAATTGTACTAATGCCTTTATCATATCAAATTACTACAGTATACAGGAAGGACTGGATTCCAACTTCCGCTCCCATGGGTTAACTATAAATCTGTGTCTGTAAACTATGTGAAAACTTTGCTAATTGTGACAAAACCTGATTTTCCAAATTGTGCTACAGTCAACATGTCTGTTCAGGTTACGTTTAAGGTCACACCTGACAGAAACCAAGGGGGCCAAATTTAAAGCAGACGATACTTATGACCAGGAATGGATTTTGTTAAGATTTGGCACTCTTACTGATACTGCTTATGGATCCGGTACTTTAACTGTAGTTACTGGTTCTTTTGTTATTTTTTGAAGGACCAGTGAGTAGGATTTAGTGGCATGTAGCGGTGAAGTTGGAGACTGCAACTAACTCAGGGTCCCCACCCTTTTAAGAAATGATTTTTCATGACCTTTCAAAGAGTTTTTAATAGAGAATACAGGACAGCACTTGCTCACAAACGGCCATATAATTTACCAGCAGGTCTAGAACTGACTTCTTGTTTGACGATGCAGGGTTCATCATGAAGTGTCTCAGGTTTATTACAAGTAGGTGGTCAGCGTTGGTTGTTCGCACCACGGCTGATTTTTCCACTGTGGTTTAAGGCTAATGGAGCTACAGTTTTACTCAAATGGTAACATTAATTTAGACAGAGCCCATAAATAACAACTCAAGTTGTTTTACAGAAGATTCGGGATGTGAGCGAAGAGCTAAAATCATTTTTTAAAATCAAATTCCATGTGTTTCCAGGAACCGTGGGAACCCTGTAACTGAACACCACTCGTGTCTGTATTTGACAATCTGGAAATGAAAACGGGATGTCATGTGTGTAGGAGAAATACAGTGGCTGCGAAGCTTGCAAAACATGCTAAAGGCCCCTTCTTCAGCCAGTGTTCGGTTTGTCCATTTTGGGCTACTGTAGAAACATGGCGGTTCAACATGTTGGACTCCATGGAAGGTGAGTATGTAGATAAAAACTGCTTATTCTAAGGTAACGAAAACCCAACGGTTATTATTTTATACACTACTGAAAACATACCTATGGA